ATGGGACAGCACCAATCTTCTCTAGTTTTAGTCTTTTCTTCGCTGCTTTATAAACCAAAGTGAAGGCCTTTTGTTAAATAAATTGATGCAAAGGTTTTTACTTGTCTGTTTTTAGAAAATTTAAGGAACAAGAGATGGCCATTCAAACTGAACTGGAAAAAATATTTGGAACTTCTGTTTCTGTTGCAGTAGAAGAGATACCTGTTGACTCAATGCCCTCTGAACTTATAGCAACCATAATTCTAAGTATTCTGCTGGGCTGCATTCTTATAGCCTTTGTGACATACATATTTGTTACTAGAAAAAGGTATGAATAAATATTTTATTTAGATTAACAAAGGTAGATTTGGATTACAATCCTTACTAAGAATTCAACTTTAAAGGCATAGTGTCAACTTGAAAAATCACAGTTCTGTCTGGAAAATTACTAATGACGTATCACCTAAAATTTGCTGTAAATGAAAGATTAGAGCCAAGAACTATTTTTCTCTATTTTTTCACTTTGTTACTATTTACCTTTGACAGCACTTTGTGTACAGACAACCTCTATAGCTTGTTTCCTCTTTTGTTTTGTGACAAGGCATCAGTGGACAGACTTTTTTTTTTAAATAGGAAAATGTGGTTGCAAGGTCAGAGATAACGTGAGGGGGACACAGATGTAGTACATTATAATACACTTCACTCACTATCCCCTGATCCTGCACCACTGAAGACATTGGGAATTCTGCCATTGACTTCAAAGACAGCAGGGTCATACCCGTTTGAAACTGACTAGATTTCAAGTTGACAGTGTCTGTTTAATCATAATCAGCAGCATGTAACTGAACTTAATATTTATTTCAGTGAAACAGGAAATAATGAGCCAAATTAATCCCTGGGATAATTCTATTTAAGTGGATAAAGTTACCTCAGGAATTAATGTGGCTCAAAATATGTGCTCACTTAAATTATTATTTGTATTGTAAATGTTTAGAAATACTGCAAGGCCAATTCACAAAAATAGGGAACCATTTGCTTGTTGTGTATTTGTCGTTTTCAGAAATGCTAAGCTTCAATTCTTAGTCAATGAACACAATGAAATTAACAGAAATATAGGAAATCCTTATGCAACTGACAGTGATGCAAGTCCACAAAATTTAAGGAAACAAGATGACAAGTAAGTATAATGCTGAAGACATGCCACAGCTTGTACAAATCAGCATAGTGAAATGTGTGATTGCTTAATTGTTCAGATCATACAAGGTTTTCTTTCATCTATGATTAGCTGTACTGGTTGATTTCCAATGAACTGTTGCTGAATTAAAATATAAAACTTTTTAAGGTATCACGGAAGTTGGTATCTTTTAAAGCAAATCGTATGTACTGTGGGCAAGACTTCATGTACTCTTTGACAAGCCATATTGACCTCTGTTCAGCCCTATAGGAGACAGGAATGTACATGCTTCCAATGAGACTACTCACATATGGTAGATAAAGTTTGCAACTTGGGTGAAATACTTTAAAGCCAATGCAAGTTTTGCCATTGACTTCAACAGAGCCAGGTTTTCATGCACGAGTACTTGCAGGATTAGGGCCTCATACATTATCTTACTCTTTTTCAGTGATGCCCAAGTGATGGAGGTTAAAGATGTGGAAAATATCAATAAAAACAATGATGAGAAGGAAATATTAGTAGAGAAACAAAAATGTGATGACCGTGACATTCTACTATTAGATGTTAAAAATGAACATGAAGAAAATGTAGCACCCAAAGAGACCACTAAACCTAATAATGTAGCTCCTCAGCTCACTACAGAAGCTGTTACTAATCAGGTAATTTGAATTGAAAAATGAAAGAATGAAGACTGGGTCCAGTAAAGGACTAGGAGTCATTTATATCTACAGTATGTACCGAAAGGCATCTCATTTACTGCTGGTCCAGCAACCTTCACCATTACAAAAATATGCACTCTCGCCATATTTCAAGTGTGGAACACAGAAAAAAGTACTTGAGATTTTGCCTGTTTAGAATTTGTCTAATTCTGTACCTTCGTGACATTTTGTCTCATTTGTATTATTCATTATAATTTCTTGCAGACTTGCTTTCTGACAGAAACCAACGATGGACCAGCTTTTTCCTTAACACCTGATCCAACAATGCGTAATAATGAGAAAGAACTGAAAGGAGTAAGGTTTTCAGAAGTGGCAATTATTTTGGAGCCAAAGAATGAACAAAATGACCCTGATCTTGACATTTTGGTAGCACTGACAGAGAGGGAGGACGAAGGACCTCATATCTCCGCCTTATGAGAATCACAACCCTTGCTCTTAGAGTCATTTAAAGTATTTTGTTGTTCTAATAAAAACAGGAACATTGTCCAGATTTTGATTCCTATATGTATATGCTGTAAGAGATTGACTGGGAAGTAAGTAAGTACTACATTAAGGAGACATTGTAGCTTCTGAAAATCAAGGAAGTGCTCAGCAAAAAAGTACGTATGATTATACTTCAAACTTGTTTTCCTCAGAGCAATGATATTTTAAAATGTGATTAGTTTTTTGTGCTATTTCAGACATAAGAAAATATCCTCTGTGATGACTTTTCATAATTTAAGGAAAAACATTGTCCCCTACTATCAAATCATTTTATATCCTTTTGGTGTTACATATGTACAACAAATAAACACTGCCCTTATCATAAATTCTCAAAATCATTGGATTAGATATTATATGTATAAGCACCGTTCATCCCTAAGGATTACACATTAAAATCGAGCCCCATCTAAGTTAGGAAAGGAAACAGCTAGCATTAATAGAGTGAGGTGAATTTGTAGCCAAGGGCACAGCACCAAACCCTCTACTCTTATGAAAAGTGCAAAGGGAATTTTTATGTCCACAGAACAGACAAGACCATTGGCCTAGTGTATCCCCTCCTGTGTGCCCCTCTACTAGTGGACCACTCTGCTTGCAGAGGAGCAGTTTCCACCCTTCCATGCAGCTCTGCCCTGGACTCTGAAGATGTCTCTCTGTGGCAGGGGTACTAGAACAATTTGTATAGTGGGGGTGCTGAGAGCCATTGAACCAAACTGTAAACCCTGTATATAATGGAAACCACTAAAAGTCAGGGGGTGCTGCAGCACCCCCTGCTCCGCTAGTTCTAGCACCTATGCTCTGTGGCATTGGAGGGGCAGGGGTTTAGGAAGGGCAGTGTGGGCACTGGCTACAGCCCATGTCACCATTTCCTGCAGGGTGCCAGAATCTGAGCAGGACTTGCTACAACTCAAAGCAGTACTGTAGTAACTTGCTTCGATCTCAAATGTAGCTGTAGGGAGAACAGAAGCCAACGTACCATATTGACCTTCAGGAAAAATGTGGAGGGAGAGATAGCAGAGCAACTCAGTAAGGAGGGAGGGAGTTTTGTGTCTGCAGAGTTGGAGCACGCCTAGGGTCCCTTTCTCAGTGATCCCTCAGCACCCTTAATTCCCAGAATCCACTCTGAAGGGACAAGGATCCTGTAGCGGCACAGTGACTCACTGGTGCGGCACCTCCCGCTGGCCATCAAGGGAATTAGCTTTTCCAGTCTTGGAGCACCCTCTACCGGCCAGTATCCCGTGTGCCTCAAGCCCCCGTGTCCCTCCCAGACTCTGGTTCCCCTTTACCTTGCGTGCTGCCCTCTGGCAGTACCCCCACTCTCTGGGTCTCCCCACCCAGGGGAACCCCCAACCCTCTATCCCAACCTTGCCTCAGTGGCTACTGCCAGTCACCATCTAGCCCCGCTCACTGGGTAACCAGATAGCAAGTGTGAAAAATCACTAGTATACAGTGTCTCTCTCCCTGTCCGCTTGCACTGAGCAACTGGGCACTGCTGTCTATCCTCTGTAAGGGGGTAGGCCCTCATCATCCACTCATCATCGGCAAGGGGGGTTTGAACCTGCTGCCTTTGCCTATCCTGGGCTGCACCTCTGCAACCCTGCACCCTTTCCAGCCTTTAGCAAGACCTGCAGCCTGGGGGTTTTCCAGGCCTGGAGCTCCCCAGCTCCTCTGGCCTTTCCTCAGCCCTGCTCCACCCTAGGTATCCTGCTGTGCTCTCAAGCAGCCAGGCCCATCTCTCTCCACAGCTAGAGAGAAAGTCTGCCTAAGCTCCTAGCTAGCAGCCCGGCTGCCTCCCCACTCAGCCCATTCTTTTCTCATCCTGGAATTGTTTTAACCTCTTCAGGGCCAGCCCCTTTAACCCCTGCGGGTGACCACCCCGCTAGAGATCCATGAAGTCTGCAATGTTCCGACGTTTTCCTGCCCTTCAGGAGGGGCTGAGTTGTCCCAGGGGTTTCCATTCAGATTGTGTAAGGTTTTTTCCCCCCGCTCAGAGCCCCTCTAGCACCAGTGCCTGCAGCGGCGGCTCCAGGGACCAGCGCTCCAAGCATGTGCCTGGGGTGGCAAGCCGTGCGGGTCGCCCTGCCGGTCCCTGCGAGGACGGCAGTCAGACAGCCTTCGGCGGCTTGCCTGTGGGAGGTCCTCTGGTCCCGCGGATTCGGCAGCAAGTCAGCGGCAGGTACACCGAAGCCGCGGAACCGGCGGACCTCCCACAGGCATGCCGCCAAATCCGCGGGACTGGGGACCTCCCGCAGGCACACCGCCAAAGGCAGCCTGCCTGCCGTGCTTGGGGCGGCAAAAAAGCTAGAGCCGCCCCTGGGTGCCTGTTCCTGTCACACGCTGGCCGCACACCTTACACACATACCACACTGGTGCCCACCCACTGCCAAAGCAGCCGAACACTATGTCGCCCACCCCCTATAGCCAAAACACACCCAGAGCCGGGGCAGCGCCGCCTGCAGCCCGGGCGGGGGGCGTGTAACGGCCCCGCGTTTCAGGGCGCCTGGGCGGCCCGCCAGGGACTAGCAGGTGGCGGCGGCGGCTCGGAGTCCCCGGGGACGGTTCTGGCACCTTCTCGCTCGGTCTCGGCGCCGGAAGAGGCCGGGCGGAGGGGAGGCGGGGCCGGGCAGGGGTAGCGGCGGCGGCGGGAGGCAGACGGCAGCGCCATGGCCAAGTGGGGCCAGGGGGACCCGCGCTGGATCGTGGAGGAGCGAGCGGACGCCACCAACGTGAACAACTGGCACTGGTGAGCGGGCGGGGAAGGGGCCGGAGGCTGCCCGGCGTGGCCCCGCTGCGCTGCCTGCCCCTGCGCGGCAGCTTCTCCCCCATCCCTGCAGCGGCTGGGGCTGTCCGGACATTAGGAGCGGCCGGGCCGAGTCTGTGGGCGCTGGGTGCGGGGAAGCGCGGGGTTTGCTGCCGGCTCCATGCTGAGCCTCCCGGGCGCCCGAGGGGGAGCAGCGGGGCTTGCACCGGGCGGCTCGGGTCCGGCTGAGGACAGCGCCCGGCGCAGGAACAGGCGCAGCCCGGGATGCTCGCGCGCGCCACACCCCCTCTCTCCGCCCTTTGCCGCAGGACCGAGCGGGACGCGACCAGCTGGTCTAAAAGCAAACTGGAGCAGCTGCTGGTGGGGATCGTGGTGGGCAATGAGGCGGGCAGCTGTGAAATAAGCGACCTGAAGCAACTGGAAGGCGAAGCCTCCTGCAACAGCCGGAAAGGGAAACTGATTTTCTTCTACGAATGGAACATAAAACTTAGCTGGAAAGGTAACTGACTCTTCTTGGTTCTCTTGTAAAGAGAAATACAGCACAAGGTGGAGTGTCATGTGCATCCCCTGTAGGCTGCAAACTCATGGAGGCAGCAACAGTAGCCTTTTTGGATTGTGCAGTGCATTAGGGCAGTGGGTCTCAACCAGGGGTCCAGGACCCCCTGAGCAGGTTTTAGGGGGTCTGCCAAGCAGGGCTGGTATGAGACTTGCTGGGTCCCAGGGCAGAAAACCAAAGCACCACCGCATGGGGATGAAGCCCAGGGCCCCAAGCCCTGCCACCCAGGGCTGAAGCTGAAACCTGAGCAACTTAGGTTCATGGGACCCCCTGGCTTTTATATGCAGAAAAACAGGTATGGAACAAGCAGGCTGTGGAGTTTTTATAGCATCTGGGGGGCGGGGAGTTAGAAAGAAAAAGATTCAGAACCCCTGCATTAGGGCAATAATCTTCTTAATATTTGCGTGTATTTCTCACATTCTTCTCAGCACTTGCTGTCAGTCTCGCTGCTGCTAGCCCAGCTAAAGTGCTATCAATTCTTACAGCTATGATTGAAGGATCATGATCATCATCATATTCCTATTACGCCTCTGGCATTTAGGGCAGTGACAAAGCTCCTCCACTCCTGTCTGTTTCTAGCAAGTCTTTCAATGGTTCCCCAGCTGTGCCCCTGGTTTTTCAGCTCGGCTTCCACAGCTCTTTGCCATGTTGTTTTCGGGCGGCCTCGTTTTTGTTTCCCTTCAGGTGTCCATCTTATTGCTACTCTGGTGATGGAATCAGTTTCCATCCGAAGCACGTGCCCAATCCATCTCCACCGCCTCCTGGCAATGATGGTGCTCAGATCCTCTTGGCTGCACTGTGTCAATAGATCTTGGTTTGAGATTGTTCTGGGCCAAAAGATACGGATTGATGATTGAATGATTATACTGGGTAATTTCTTTCTCTTAGAAGACTCACTTTTGCTGCTCAAAACTTCATAGTCATAGAAACATTGTGCTGGAAGGGACCTCGCGATGCCATCTAGTACACCTCCCACACTAAGGTGGGACCAAATATTTGTAGATCATCCCTGAAGGTGTTTGTGGCACCTGTTCTGGAAAAGTTGCTTCAGGTTTGTTTACCACATTTCCATATTAGCACTGAAAACTGTGACTAGTAAATACAGAATGTCTGCACATTAAGACCCGAACAGGACCCTCTAGGCCAGAGGTGGGCAAACTATGGACGCATCTGGCCCGCCAGCCGTTTTAATCCGGCCCTCAAGCTCCCGCTGGAGAGTGGGGAGTGGGTTCTGGGGCTTGCGCTGATCCGGCGCTCCAGTCGGGGAGCAGGGTTGGGGGCCACTCTGCGTGGCTCCCAGAAGCAGCAACATGTCCCCCCTCCAGCTCCTGTGCATAGAGGCACCTAGAAGGCTCCGCTCTGCACGCTGTCCCCACCCCAAGCGCCACCCCTGCAGCTGCCATTGGCACCACAGCCAATGGCACCTGCGGACGGGGCGGTGCTTGCGGACGGGGCAGCGCGCAGCAGAACCACCTAGCCATGCCTCCGCGTAGGAGCCGGAGGGGGGACATGCCGCTGCTTCCGGGACCTGCTTGAGGTAAGCGCCGCCCGGAGCCTGCACCCCTGAGACACCACCCACCCCCCAGCGCTCCAACACCCTGCCCCAGCCCTGATCCCCCTCCCCGCCCTCCGAACCACTTGGTCCCAGCCTGGAGCACCCTCCTGCACCCCAAACCCCTCATCCCCAGAGCCTGCATCCCTAGCCGGAGCCCTCAACCCCCCATGGCCCAACCCCCTGTCCCAGCCCTGATCCCCCTCATACCCTCCGAACACCTCGGTCTCAGCCCGGAGCACCCTCCTGCACTCCAAACGCCTCATCCCCAGAGCCTGCACCCCTGCTGCCCCAGCCCTCCCTTCCTGCACCCTGAACTCCTCATTTCTGGCCCTACGCCAGAGCCTGCACCCCCAGCCAGAGCCCTCACCCCCTTCCACACCCCAAACCCAATTTTGTGAGCATTCATGGCCCGCCATACAATTTCTATATCCAGATGTGGCCCTCGGGCCAAAAAGTTTGCCCACACAGGCTCTAGGCAGACTCCGCACCCACATGGAGGCCCCTGGAGTCAGTGGTGGTCTGTGTGGGTGTATAGGTCTGGCCATGCAAACCTGCTTGCAGGATCGGGGCCATGTGTGGTGGTGTGCACAAGTTTCCTGGAATGATTATTCTAGAAAGCAAACTCTTCGTTAGGTTGGAGGAGCAGTAATATTTTCATAAACTGAATTGAAGTGGCAAAGAAATCAGAGAGGAACAAAATCAGTGAGTCTCAGCTCCTAAAATAGGTTATTTTGAAATAATCTTGAAACTCTGGTCTTTTTTTCTTGAATTTTTTTCCATACTTCAATTTTATTACTGCAAAACAGATATGTTCACATTCAGTATTTTTGAATAAATTAGGACATGACTCATTTTACTCTGCAAGAAGCAGGCATTTGCATTGTGACAATCCTCATCTGCTTTATTATGACTTGTTCGAATTGTTTAAAATTATCGAGCTTACAAATGATAGGTATTCAATTAATGAATTCATGGTGGCAGCAAGGAAAGGAGGAACTGTTTCAGGAAAAGTGTAAAGAAAATATAGACATCTTTGTAATACAGTATGTAAAGAAAATTGCAAAAAGGAGTGTGAATAATGTCAAGACTTAAAAAAAAAGTGAATTATGAGATACACTAGCCAGTTTAAATCTACTTAATTGATCAAGTAATCAGTTCTCTTTAGCAAATGCTACCATTCTTTTCAATGAGTATTGTGTAACCATATCTCTTCAGTGAGACATGTGTTCCACATTTTTTCTTCTCAGGGACAAATCCTAGAGAAGGCTGATGGCTGATGTGAACTGTGTACTTGGGAAACTGTACACCGATATTGCAATGCTGAAGGGTAGAGTGTTCATTCCCAAAATGTGGTAATTAGCTCTCAGCCAGACTTCAACCACTACTGCAAGAGATGGGAGTAGTAGTGAATGCAGCCTATTTCCCTCTCACTCTCCCTGCCCCAAAGTGGGATTGTGGTTCAGTGCCTTGAATTGTCCTGCTTTCCACTCCTGTGGGCTGTCTGCATTTTTTTCCTCCCTTCTCCATTTAGCTGATGAGATATTTCATGGAGTTCCTTCCAGTGCTGTGCACATGCCATGCCGAGTCCTGCTGTCCAGTTTTCCTGCAGCTTGGCTACCTGACACTATAAAATGCAATGTTTGCACTGCTTACTTGTCAGTTTTACAAAGCCTTAGGTTACCTTGAAAAAAGGTTAATGCAATTTTAGATTTATAGGAAGTAAATTTAGATTTAAAGGAAGTATTTCTTCACACAACACACAGTCAACCTATGGAACTCTTTGCCAGAGGATGTTGTGAAGGCCAAGACTATAACAAGGTTCAAAAAAGAACTAGATAAATTCATGGAGGATAGGTCCATCAATGGTATTAGCCAGGATGGGCAGGGATGGTGTCCCTAGCCTCTGTTTGCCAGAAGCTGGGAATGGGCGACAGGGAATGGATCACTTGATGATTACCTGTTCTGTTCATTCCCTCTGGCACACCTGGCATTGGTCACTGTCGGAAGACAGGATATTGGGCTAGATGGATCTTTGGCAGGGGTGAAAGTAATATTAAACACTTACTGGTACGGGGGCCTGGCTCTGGGCCCCCAGAAGGAGTGGGGCCTTGGGCAGAAGGGGCGGGGCTGGGGGGGGTCAGCCTCCCCCAGCCAGCCCATCCGTGCTGCCTGATCCGTGCAGCCTGGGGCTCGGCGGCGATTTAAAAGGGCCCAGGGTTCCAGCCGATGCTGTGGCAGCGGCATCCAGGAGCCCCGGGCCATTTTAAATCGCCGGCCCTCGGGCAGCTGCCCCTTTTGCCAGGGCCGGCTCCAGGGTTTTTGCCGCCCCAAGCGGCGGGGGAAAAAAAAAAAAAGCCGCGATCGCGATTGGCGGCAGCTCCACCGCGCCGCTTTCTTCTTCGGCGGCAATTCGACAGCAGGTCCTTCCCTCCGAGAGGGACCGAGGGACCCTCTGCCGAATTGCTGCCGAAGAGCCCAACGTGCCGCCCCTTCCCCTTGGCCGCCCCAAGCACCTGTTTGCTCAACTGGTGCCTGGAGCTGGCCCTGCCTTTTGCACCCCCCCCCCCCCCCCCCCCCCCCCCCCCCCCGGGGGGCGGGGGGGGGGGGGGGGGGGGGGGGCAAAAGGGGCAGAGACGTTAAAGCACTGTCGCGGCAGTGCTTTAATGTCGGTACATGGCCATTCTTATGTTCTTATAAAGAACTAAGTTATTAATGCTATATATTTAGAGTAGCTTAATTTTATACATTGTGAAGAACAAAATATAATAGTTTTTTCCTACCTGCCACAACTTTCTGAGATGAAAACCAGAAGCGATTAACAATTATGAACTATTCTTACACTGTGATAAGAGCACTTAATCTCACAGGCATTCAGTGTTCTACCATACATTGCAGCATTCCTTTGTGAACCTGTATTTAAGAGTATTTGCTTGAAGATTCTAGTATTTCACTGAGAGTTCTAAGAGCCATTGGTCATGAGTTTGGGTCTGTATCAGGACTTCCACCTCCCCCCTCTCCCTCCCCCCCCCTGCATGTTCTCTGACCAATTGGAAGTAGAAATAAGATCAGAACTTCTGGGGAGTTTGACAGCATGGAACATTCTCAAACTTAAAGCAATAGTTCTTCCCCCATCTAGTCCTTTTCTATAATATTCTGCATTCAATCTACTATTTTAAAAATGAACATTTCTTAGATTTTGATTCTGCTATGTAAATCTGAAATTCACTAACAATTAGGAAAGCCCGATTTAAAAAATGCACAAAAATCCACTTTAGCAACATAGACTGGGAAGAAAGTGAAGAACTAGCACCACTTAAATAAAATAAGTTGATTTAAATTAAAAACATCAGGTTTTTTATTAAATTCTAAAACTATTATTTGTATCCCCATGGTATCATAAGTATTTTAATGAAGAGCTTTATATTATGGTGGTAGTTTTTGTACATGTTCTATAAAAACTACCTGTGAACTTACTGTCCTGGAATCCAGTACACCTGCGGTCCTTTTGAGCAAGGTGCTTTCAATGTTAATTTGTCTAATATTGAAATAACCTTGTCCGAAATGTAATGTGGTCCAGTAGATCTAAAATGGGACTGGGAACCAAAACTCAATAATACTAGGGCTGTCAAGCGATTAAAAAAATTAATCACGATTAATCGCGCAATAAAAAATTAGTCGCTATTGATCACACTGTTAATAATAGAATACCATTTATTTAAATATTTTTGGATGTTTTCTACATTTTCAAATATATTGATTTCAGTTACAACAGAGAATACGTGTACAGTGCTCACTTTTCAATTCACCGAATACAAGTACTGTAGTGCAATCTCTTTATCATGAAAGTTGAACTTACAAATGTAGAATTATGTACAAAAAAATAACTGCATTCAAAAATAAAACAATGTAAAACTTTAGCAGCTACAAGTCCACTCAGTCCTACTTCAGCCAGTTGCTCAGACAAACAAGTTTGGTTGCAATTTGCAGGAGATAATGCTGCCTGCTTCTTGTTTACAATGTCACCTGAAAGTAAGAACAGGTGTTCGCATGGCACGGTTGTAGCCGGCATCGGAAGATATTTACGTGCCAGATGCGCTAAAGATTCATATGTTCCTTCATGCTTCAACCACCATTCCAGAAGATATTGTCCATGCTGATGATGGGTTCTGCTCAATAATGATCCAAAGCAGAATGGACTGACGCGTGTTCATTTTCATCATTTTAGTCATGCCATCAACAGAATGTTGATTTTCTTTTTTGGTGGTTTGGGTTCTGTAGTTTCCACATCTGATTGTTGCTCTTTTAAGACTTCTGAAAGCATGCGCCACACCTCGTCCCTCTCAGATTTTGGACGGCACTTCAGATTCTTAAACCTTGGGTCGAGTGCTATAGCTATTTTTAGAAATCTCACATTGGTACCGTTTTTGCGTTTTGTCAAATCTGCTGTGAAAGTGTTTTTAAAACGAACATGTGCGGGGGTCATCATCCGAGACTGCTATAACGTGAAATATATGGCAGAATGCAGGTAAAACAGAACAGGAGACATACAATTCTCCCCCAAGGAGTTCAGTCACAAATTAAATTAATGCATTAGTTTTTTAATGAGCATCATCAACATGGAAGCATGTTCTCTGCAATGGTGGCCGAAGCATGAAGGGGCATACGTATGTTTAGCATATCTGGCACGTAAATACCTTGCAACGCCGGCTACAAAAGTGCCACGTGGATGCCTGTTCTCACTTTCAGGTGACATTGTAAATAAGAAGCAGTCAGCATTATCTCCCGTAAATGTAAACAAACTTGTTTGTCTTAGCGATTGGCTGAACAAAAAGTAGGACTGAGTGCACTCGTAGGCTCTAATTGTTTTGTTTTTGAGTGCAGTTATGTAACAACAACAACAAAAAAATCTACATTTGTAAGTTACACTTTCACAATAAAGAGATTGCACTACAGTACTTGTGTGAGGTGAATTGAAAAATACTATTTCTTTTGTTTATCATTTTTACAGTGCAAATATTTGTAATTAAAAATAAGAATATAAAGTGAGCACTGTACATTTTGTATTCTGTGTTGTAATAGAAATCAACATATTTGAAAATGTAGAAAAGCATCCAAAATATTTAATAAATTTGAATCGGCATTCTATTGTTTAACAGTGCGATTAATCACAATTAATTTTTTGAGTTAATCGCGTGAGTTAACTGCAATTAATCAACAGCCTTAATTAATACTAATCACAGTTCTGACACTGGAACCTTTTGGGTTTTGGACAAGCCATTTTATCTTTCGGTGTCTTAGTTGCCACATCTATAAAATGGCAATAATAATATGTGCCTACCTCAAAGTGGTATTTACCATGCAAAAGCATTACCTCCAGTGAGCAGTGTGGCTCTATCCAGTGAATATTTAGATTAGCATTTGCTGACCAGCACAGGTATTGTCTGTCCAAGTGACTGATATGTACAGCATTATTAGCCGTTTAAAAAAGATAAAAATTGAATGTTTAAAAAGCCTCTATTACTGTTAGTCATAAATTAGACCTTCCAGTTAGTTTTATTTGTATCTTTGTTGTTGTTTTTTGCAACGATTACATGGGTTTGCTAACACTTCCCTAAACTCTTATCCATTCAGCAAGTTTGGCTAGAAAAGCCATCCTGCAGGTATGTGCCCCATTGTTCAAAAAATAAGTCTAAACACACATTTTCTTTGGGCACACTGATTGACTAAGAAGTAAAAAAAAACCCTAATTTTTCCTTCAGATATTAACAGAAACTGCACATAAATGTCTTTTTGCCTACTTTAGTGTGAGCTTTACCTGCAGCAAGTCAGGATATATTCATGCATGGGCATTTCTTTCGATGGAGAGTCTGGTGCTCATTCAGAGCACAATCCTCTGCATAAAGTTGTTAAAGGAAGTTTTTCCATTGAGTTAAGTGGCAGTTGGATCTGGATATTTGGAAGATGGGACTTCTGAGTGACTTCGTGCCTTTCAGCTGATTCACCCCTTTGCAGCAGTGCCTGTTCGTGCAGAGTGTTACTGCAAAAATGCAGTAAATGATATTTCAGGGTGTTTATATTAGAGGGTTTTGTTGTGAGCATTGATGAACATCTTTGCTGCTAGGGAGTTGTACTGTTTAAATAACATTTAATGGTGTGACATAGGTGCTATGTCAGAATGGAAATGCCACTAGTACAGTTTGAAGAGCATTTAAACCAGATCTGCTGGGTGAATAAATTTAATGAACAACTAGAAACTTTTTAAGAATAAGAGGAGGAATCTTTACTGAAGCAAAAACTGTTCATAGAATCATAGAATATCAGGGTTGGAAGGGACCTCAGGAGATCATCTAGTCCAACCCACTGCTCAAAGCAGGACCAATCCCCAATTAGATTTTTGCCCCATATCCCTAAATGGCCCCCTCAAGGATTGAACTCACAACCCTGGGTTTAGCAGGCCAATGCTCAAACCACTGAGCTATCCCTCCCCCCATGGTCATCTAGTCCAACCCCCTAGAACTGTAAAAATTAAAGCAGAACAGGGTGGACTAAGGGCCTGATCCTGCAACTTCTTGCACTCATGTGAACTGCTTGCTATGCCTGTGTGGAGCCCCATTGTCTTCAGTGAGGTTCTGTTCAAGTGCATCAGTCTCTCTGGGTGTGACAAGTTCCAGGATCATGATCTAGGGCTCCATTTATGGTGGCATGTATAGTACAGGCACTGCACACATGCCTAGAAGAGATATAAATAGCAGTGTAGATGACGAGGCACTGCTTAGACAAGTAGAGTAAAGACACACCCTAAGGTTCTGGCTTATCTCCTACACGGCTCTCTATACACTCCACAGTGCTTCCCACTTCTATTTTTAGCGGTGTAGTGTCCCACTGCCTCCCTGCTGCTGGAGCCTTTCCCTGCCATAGGGAAAGGTTTTGACAGTGGGGAAAGACTCTGGCAGGGAAGAGGAAGCAGTGGAAAAGGCTTCAACAGCTCCCCATTGCTGGAGCTTTTCCTCATCACAGAGAGCTGCTGGAGCCCATCCCTGCAGCAAGGAAAGGCTGTGGCTGGTGGGAGGCAGTGGGGAAAGGCTCTGATCTTTCTTCACTGCCTCCCCCCGCCAGAACCGTTCCCTGCTTTTCACTGTGGTGTGTAGCTACATATACCCTACACATTACCGCAAGTGTAGACAAGGCCTTACTAGTGTAGTGATTACTACCATGAGTTGCCTTATTGAGGTCAATGGCACTATTTGCGAAGCAAGCACTTCTCTCAGAAGTGTTTGCAGGATCAGGCCTTCTATTTTTAAACTGCAATATATAGTAGTTCTGCATAAAGCATTTACAAGGGTAAAACTTCTACTATGGAAAATATAGTTCTTTAGTTATTACATTTAAGAATTCATTCTGTTAATGCAGGTACAATGAAAGAATCTGGTGAGAAACATGAGGGATCTGTTGAAATTCCTAACCTGTCAGAAGAAAATGAGGTGGATGATACAGAGGTAGGTAATAAATACTAACATAACTGTATAGGGCAGGAATTTTTAAATAAAATTAATAACTTTAGTTGCCATTAAATTTCCTGTTAACTGAATAATAGGAGAACAACATGACTTAGCAAGTTTGTCTTTAGTATTCTAAAGATAAAAGATGTCAAGAACCAAAAACATTAATGGCTCATTTCTGTCCTCCGATACGTAAATACATATCTTCCAAAGTTAGCTACTAAGCATGCACAGTATCTGTCTTTAAAAGATGCAGTTCATGGCAATACAGAGCCACATGTTTGAGATAAGAATTGAGCCCTATGTTTGCTTCACCGTCTGTCATTTTTTAATCTTAAGGCCTCTACTTTGGTGCTAGCCTAATGATATAGTTGATATTGTGGTCTCTAAAGAACTCCTGGGGGAGAAATCTATCTAAACTTCTGGCTAGTTCTTGAGTTGTTATGGAGACAAAATTGCTTGTGTTTCCTTTAGAAAAAGTATCCGGGTTTAGTTTAAAGACATGATAAAGTGGGAAAGTTTGCACTTGAAATATCTATTCTGCACCTGTCCTCTGAATAAACCAAAGATAGCATTTTCCAACACTTGTTCCCCAAAAATCAAATTGTGCAAAGCATCTCTTAGATTTGTATGTTTATTTGTAGATAAGTGTAAGCAAAAAGAAAGGAGATGGAGATGTGCTAAAGGATCTTATGAGAACAGAAGGAACTTCAAAAGTCAGGGAGGCTCTCAGAGATTATCTGAAAGTTCTTAAAACAGGTACATTAAGATCATTTCTTCATACTGTGACTATATGGGCCCATTTTGTGCAATCTCCCTGCTTGAATAGATCGATCCATTTTCATCTGAGCTGGTAGAAACTGTTTTCATATTACTTTAAGAACAAAACAAAACCCCAATGCCTTCATTTTAATTATAATATTGCATTAAAGGTTTGAATTTAATCAAAGTCAGGATATTCAAAGTTTTGTTTTTTTTTGTAAAATGTTTATTTTGCAGTAAAGCCCGGGGGCACTAATCAGGACCAGAACCATATTGTCATAAGTGCTATACAAACATATGTGAAGATACAGTCCCTGCCCTAGAGATCTTACAAATTAATTGGCTGAGCAAAGCAAGGCCGTACACTTAACTCAGTGGCATTTCTCTGTATCTGAATCAATTCCAAAATTTCAGGGAATGTTCTAGGCATAAGTGGACAGAACTCTATTGATTTTGGTGAAAAATCAAAAACTGAAAAAGCCTGAATTTAGTGGAAATCAGGCTATTCTCATTTTCAGATCTTTACTAAAATAAATACAGTTCTGAGCAGAGGGGGAAGGGCTTGGCTGTAGTGGGGCCAACGGGCGTAGTTGGGTGTACAGGTTGGCCTCACGTTAGATGATATTTTTTACTTCCTCTATTTACAGAGTTTACTCTGGGAATGATCCTACCAACCAAAACTTCAGCTGGTCCGGAACTGGCGGTTAAAAAAAAATTGAGTGAGAATAATGTTCAGGTATGCTGGCTTTAAGAGTTACTATGTAAGTTTCACTGGGAAAGATGGATGCTATTGGCCCCAACCTCTGCCATCATAGGAGGAATAGAGAACTTAAGATTTATCCTGTGACTAACAGCAGATATACATAGTGCTGTAATGTGGAGCATTCATCTGTAACAGTAAGTGTTTGATGCACTTTTAAAATCACCTTTGGGATGGAGGCCAGTAAATTCACCAACATGAATGCTATGACTAGTCTCTGTAGTGCTCAGGTAATGTGGAAATAGAATCATTGCGGGACCACAGAATCTTCAGACAGTGAAAGGGAGATCAAAGGTGCCCTGTTCTTCACTTCCAGTGTTCTGTCAGTAACAACGACAGCTTCAAGAGGGCGAGGCTGAAATTTTTCTGCTTCCCTCATTTCCTCAGTCTAATTCAGAGATTGGCGGCTCACCAGGGTAAGCACCCTGGCGGGCCGGGCTGGTTTGTTTACCTGCCGCGTCCGCAGGTTTGGCCGATCGCGGCTCCCACTGGCCGTGGTTCGCTGCTCCAGGCCAATGGGGGCTGCGGGAAGGCGCGGGCTGAGGTATGTACTGGCCTCCGCTTCCTGCCGCCCCGATTGTCCTGGAGCGGCAAACCGCAGCCAGTGGGAGCCATGATCGGCCGAACCTGCGGATGCGGCAGGTAAACAAACCGGCCCAGCCTGCCAGGGTGCTTACCCTGGCGAGCCGCGTGCCAAAGGTTGCTGATCTCTGGTCTAATTAATTCATTCCACATTCTGTTGCCTGTCACCAAAAGCATGTTAGGGTTGCCTCAGATTTTCCTAGTGCTTGACTGTGGTGCTCACTTAATCTAACCCTAATATAGAATAGTATGTTATCATGTAATTAATGCATATGCACAAGGGAGCAGGCTTAATAATGCTGGACAGCCTTAAACCTGGCATTCCCTAACTTTTGAGTGGTTGACTTTGCAAACTTAATGTTTTTCTAGTAAAGAGTTTTGGTGTGGAATATATATGTGTTTGCTATTCATATACAATGGCACTTTATCCTGAGTTTGCTTTACAGGATTCTGTTATACCAATTTCTTTGGATACAGTTGGTGTAAAGATTCCAACAGTAAAGATACTTCTGAAAGAGATGTTTGACTCTCCAGTAGAGGAGCTTTATAGCATCTTCATAACTAAGGAGGTAAGAAGCCTTTGTATAAGATAGGAGCACGTGTTCTTAGTGATGTAACTGAAGGGATTGGTGTTCCAGTAAAGAGAAAAGTTATTTTATTTGAAGAGTTTAATTATAATCAGTAATGAGAAATATTATATGTAGGACCTTACCAAATTCACGGCCATGAACAACTTGTCATGGACTGTGAAATCTGGTCTCTTCCCATGAAATCTGGTCTTTTGTGTGCGTTTACCCTATACTGTATAGATTTCACAGGGGAGACCAGCGTTTCTCAAATTGAGGGTCCTGACCCAAAAGGGAGTTGTGGGGTGGGGGTGGTATTGCCACCCTTACTTCTGCATTGTCTTCAGAGCTGGGTAGCCAGAGAGTGGCAGCTGTTGGCCAGGTGCCCAGCTCTGAATGTAGCACCCCGCCAGCAGCAGCACAGACGTAAGGGTGACAATACCATATCATGCCACCCTTCCTTCTGCGCTGCTGCCTTCAGAGCTGGGTGGCCGGGGAGTGGCGGCTGCTGACTGAGGGCCCAGCTCTGCAGGCAGCAGCTCTGCCTTCAAAGCTGGAATCCCGGCCAGCAGCCACTGCTTTCCAACTGCCTAGCACTGAAGGCAGCACCGCTGCCAGCAGAAGTAAGGGTAGCAGTACTGCAACATTCCCCTCCCCCTCCCCCCCAATAATTTTGCGAACCCCCGCCTCCCCCCAGCAACTCCTTTTTGGGTCAGGACCCCTACAATTACAGCACGGTGAAATTTCAGATTTAAATAGCTGAAATCATGAAATTTATGATTTTTAAAATCCTATGACCGTGAAATTGACCAAAATGGACCTTGAATTTGGTAGGGCCCTAATTATATTTAACTTTCATAGTGCCCAGTGCAACTAACACACTCCCGCTTGTACAGTAAGAGTGGGAAATCTAGTCAAACAGGGACTGAAATACCATCAGCTACTTATTTCTAGTAACTTCAGCTATAGTACCACAATGTAGGGTGTAAGGTGGTCTTGAGTCTCTTCCCGTCTGTCAGGAAGGGAGACCCCTGCCCCTCACTACAACGCTTCTGGAGTGACTCAGTTCAGGGGGAAATTAGCAGACAGTTAATAGGCCCAAGCCTGCAGTCCAGGCCGGGCAGCAATTGAGTCTGTGAGCCCGGTCCTCAGCCAAGGTGGGGCAGCCAACAAATAAGGGCTCTGGCCTGCAGTCAGGCAGAGGAACAATGAGTCTATAGGCCCGGGGGCCTCAATCAGGGCAGAACAGCAAACAGTTAACAGCTCTGGCCTGCAGTCTGGCAGAGCAACATAGCAGTCTAGGGGGATCAGCTCTTTGGCGGCGCTGACAGCAAAACCGCCTGGCGTCCTAGCTCGGGTGGGCAACAGACCGACGCAGGCCTCTTGGCCTAGAGGTGGGGAAGCTGCCACCCCAGGGGTGGAGTGGCAGGGGGATACAGGCCCATCCGACTCCACTGCATCCCAGCCAAGGGCCTTAACAGTGGCGGAGTGGTCTGCCACTGGGTCAGCAGGGAAATCTGGCTGCAACACGCTGGCTTACTTATAGTAAATAACAGAGCCAAACCCTATTCGGCTTCCCTGGGCTCCTTCCTACACTCCCATTCAGGGTGTACCTGGGTCCTCGTTTGTCTCGCTGGGGTAAACGGCTAGTGGCAGCCCCAACAGCTCCTCAGTGCCTCCGGGTCTCTGGCGCTGTAGCGGCCTCCATTGGGTCTGAGCTCCAGCAGTGGGGGAGAGACGTCCTGCTCCTCTGGCAGCTCTTCTCCAACTGAGTTGGAGGGGCTGCCTTTTATATTTCTGGTTCCTGTCCCTCCCCTCTGCTTCCCGTGGGGCGGTTGTAGGTGTCCTGGTTGCAGGTCTCCCCCCGTCTGTCAAGGAGGGAGACCATGCCCCCTCGCTACAAGGGTTCTAGCACCATTTACTTCATTAGTGCTGTTGTTACCTTTGAAGGTAAAGAACTATCATGGTGTGTAAAGTGGAGAGCAGAATGGAGCTACACCTCTACCTCGATATAACGCTGTCCTCGGGAGCCAAAAAAATCTTACTGCGTTATAGGTGAAACCGCGTTATATTGAATTTGCTTTGATCCACCGGAGTGCGCAGCCCCACCCCCCCCGGAGCACTGCTTTACCGCGTTATATCCGAATTCGTGTTATATCGGGTCGCGTTATATCGAGGTAGCGGTGTATTTAGTTTATCTGACTGTGTTTATTTCGTTGAGCTCTGTGTATTGACGTGAAGCTGGCCAACTAGCAATGGCCAAAGGAATGGTCTGCTAATTTTGTTGGTCCTGTCAGCAGGCTTTTGATTCCATTGCCCGTGAGGAATTGATAACTTACTTTCAGATCTTTCCAAAGTAGACAGACTGGCCCTTTGGTATTCTTGTTCTTTTCTTTCTGAGCATCCCTGGAAGGTGGTGCTGGGCCATTGTTTATCCACCCACAACAGCTCCACTAATAGAGATTGGGAAGTCTTATGCTGCATGTCATTAGTATGTAAGTGAAATGCAGCTCTGTCTCCTTTGCACCCAGCTCACAGTAATAATAAATACTCAGTAATAAAAAATACTTAATCCTTTATGTAAGCACTTGTAATCCAAAAATCTCAAAGTGCTTTACAAATGTTAAGCATTCTTATCCCCATTTTCCAGATGGATTCCATTAGCTAGTATGTGTATGGATATGATTACATCTACCTCTCTTGCAAGGTTTACTGTGGAGAAGCACTCAAATAGCAAGTTTAGGATGCATCGGTGTCCTCCTAAGAAGCCCTAGAATATATCAGAAGATTTTAGACTGGAATGCTAATACTTCCAAAAATTGTAATTCTCAGGAGGATCAGGGATTAATGTCAGTCTTCTGATATGGGATAGAGAATATAACATCTCATGACTTTCCGACTAATCCTGCTCCATGTGTCTAGACTGCTGCTTCCATCTCATCAGGGCAGAAGGAAGATCAGTCTGCCTGTTTCCTAATCCAAATATAGCTGCAGCCACTTCACTTCACTTGCTTTGAACACTCTACCTCTGTTTTACCTAATACCCTCATTAATTGCTCCTTTTACCTACCAAACATGTTTCTCAGCACTTTGTAACTTAATCATATTATGATTTTTCTTAGTGAAATCAATGATGTATTGAATTGACTGGAGCACTTTTTAAAGTTCAAGCACATAAAATTGCTTTCAGAGAGCCATGCATTCATCACAGAACCCTTGGCATTAGGAGTCTCCAGTAGCCCTTTTAGTTCATCCCAGTATCCTGGAAGGATGCGTTATAGATCACTAAGCTATCCAGAAATCATAGCAGTTCTGTGTTATTGAATAGCTGATTAAATTCTTACACTATGCATGTTTGCTTTTTGTTTTCCTAGTTGGTGCAAAAATTTTCTAAAAGTCGTGCTGTGATCGAAGCCAAAAGAGGAGGAAAACTTCAAATGTTTGATGGTTGTATTACTGGTGAATATATAGAATTGGTAAGTGAAACCTTGCAGTTTAAAATCAGATGCCATGTTCTGCCCTTTTGGAGTCTCACACTGATGATGTTTGGGCCCACAAGGTTCTTAAATTGCTACGCCACAGGGGAGAATACTGAGTAAAATGTAACCTTGCTTTAGTTTCTCTAATGCAGATTTAGTTAATAAAAAACAAAATATGACCATGTAGAAGATTCCTGACTTTCTCCTTTTCTGGCCCAGATTATCTATCATGTGGGAAAACCCTCACTTGGAACCATGGGATGAGGAAAACTGTGTGTGGTTGCCTTGCAGAGTTTTTCTACCACTGTCTTTTTTTAATAGAGAGTTTGGGATTGAGGTTACAGATTAGAAGTAGTACCACTTACCGAACATGTGGATCTCTGGAGAAGCAGATCGCATTCTGTTCAGAGACAGAAGCTACGCTGTCCCTGGTTATGCTCCCCTACAGCTACATAGAGGGGACGCTGAGGAAGGTAATATAGTGTAGACCTGTATTTCCACACAAAACTAAGCGTAGAGCAAAGAGTAGTGCCACGGAGAGCTCTGCTCCACCTACCTCTTGCCCCAACCACTGAAACCTGTGGAGACTCCTTCTACATGAATACCAAAGTATGGGCATCTATACAGTGTTGGGGAAGAAACTGGCATCCTTCTTTTACATGGAATAAGTAGATCTGCACACAGATGGAGCCTCCTCTGTAAATCAGCCTGGGACAATCGAGGCTTTGATTAGGGAGCATGTCCCAGTGACACTTCTTCTCTTATCAGAGATCAGTGGTATCAACCACTCTGAATAATGTCAAAAGTTGTTTCTTAAATGAAAAACGACCTAGGGAAAATGCTCTGTCCTGATACTTTTAAAAAGTTGTCTTGAAGCCCTTTAACTTACCATTCAGCTGTGTGTCAATTCTAGCTTCTAATCCCTTAATTACTTAAATCAAATCCTGAGTAGTTAAAGCTAGTAAACAATTTTTGGAATTAAAATTACTGCAGATTTTAGAGGATTTAGTTCTAGGTATTTCATCTTTTAGGCATGCCTAAGTTTTCCTAAAGCTCGAGATCCCCTTTCCCCCAAATGGGACTGAGTGCGCAGTGGCTCCAGTTATAATAAAGATGTTGAAACTTGGGAACGCACTGATGAAATAAAAACGAGGAGTCCTTGTGGCACCTTAGAGACTAACAAATTTATTTGGGCATAAGCTTTCGTGGGCTAGAACCCACTTCATCAGATGAAATAATTCATTTGATAGTGCCAGCAACTAGCTATAAAAAGACACGCCACAGATTTACGGCTGTAACAACTAAAGAAACTCTTTAGGCAGTATCCCCAGTCAACAATCAAACAACTGGCAAGTTCCACATCGTAGAGACATAGTTACAGTGGTTATGTTAAGCACAAATGGAACTGAACCTACCTGGACCCTAGGGGAAGTTGTGAATAAAAAAATACCCCTATTTGTAAACCTCCTTGAAGGATGGGCAAACTCCCTGAATGGGAGAATGCACCACTTCTCTAAACCAACTGCTGTCACATGTGTCTTCTGGATTAAGCCTCTGCCAGGTTGCTTTCAGTTCCGAGCCAGTTGCCGAGAATGCTGAGACGCCACACAATCTAGAACTGATGGAAAGGAGCTCTAGAGCTGTGTCTCATCTTACACATGGTACCACAGCCCAAACCATCTCATCACTATCTCTTCCAGTGGCCTCAAATGTATATTGAGCAAGATGGGTGGCAGAGTAGAGTACTATAGAGGTGGGTGATCAGTTACGCTCTACTTTTTTTTTGCGATTTCTCAGAGGAAAATACCGAACCACTGCAGTAATCCCAGTCACCCATGCTAAGGTCCATGTTATCAATGGCTGCTGATTAGAGCTGTAGCTATAAGCATGAACAAATGACCTTTGTCCATTGCTAGGAGAAAGTAGGGAAGTGTGTGCCCAGTTATGAGTGTCATGATTAGAGCTGGGATTTTCAAGTAAGTGTTTTCCCTCACATTTACTGTTTGTCCAACTTTTGCCAGGTGGAAAAGTCAGAAATTGAAGGGAGAAGGCCCCAAAATTTTGTTTCAGAATTTTGGAAAACAAACTTTTTATAGAAAAAAAAATTAATTTGACAAAACCCTGTTTTATGATGGAAAAAGCTTTCACACTGGAAAATTCTTGGCCAGTGCCAGCTCGGATTCTCTTGGAATGAGATGTGGCAGGCCCTCAGATGAAATTCTTGAAAAAAGGCAGGGGGGGAGTATTAGTTTTGTCATGTTTTTTTGTACATCTGTATCTGTCTTACAGTTACCCAGCCAAAGGATTGTCATGAAATGGAGATGCAGGAACTGGCCTCATGGTATGTCTTTTCTCTAACCCCATAGTACTTACGGGCAGGATTTTCATAGGGGCCTAATCCCAGTTTAAATTGGAGCTAAAGTTTGAGAAAGCACAAATATAATGCCTGCTATCAGAGCAGTAGCCGTGTTAGACTGAATCTGTAAAAAGCAACAGAGAGTCCTGTGGCACCTTTAAGACTAACAGAAGTATTGGAGCATAAGCTTTCGTGGGTGAATGCCCACTTCATCAGACGCAAGTAATGGAAATTTCCAGAGGTATAAATCAGTATGGAGATAACGAGGTTAGTTCAATATGCAAGGCACTGCATTTAGCCGTATGGAATGGAAATCTATCAACCTCATGAAGAAACTTGCACAAATACAGACACATATCATCTTCCTTTCCAAATGCAAACGGATGGACATCATACCAAATGGACTGAAGGTGAAAAATCCATTGCTATCTACATACTGCACAGACCACAGTGAGAGATTGTCATACACTATCAAAGAAACTGAGGATTAAACAAAGACTGTGAATGGCTATCCAACTACAGAAGCAGTTTCTCCTCCCTTGGTGTTCACACCTCAACTGCTAGCAGAGCACCTCACCCTCCCTGATTGAACTAACCTCGCTATCTCCATACTGATTTATACCTGCCTCTGGAAATTTCCATTACTTGCATCTAATGAAGTGGGCATTCACCCATGAAAGCTTATGCTCCAATACTTCTGTTAGTCTTAAAGGTGCCACAGGACCCTCTGTTGCTTTTTACATAATGCCTGCTGTTATTCCCACTGAGGGAAGGAGTTTGTGCTGTCTTTGTTCTTGCAAGAGCAATAAGTACATTTATGTACAAAATGCAACAGGTGAGTTCATGAAAGATTGAATTTTATTTAGTAGTATAGTAAAGCAAACTTTTATTAATCAGGTATTAAAACCAAGTTTATTAATAAACATATTACTAAATATTGTACTCTCTCTTCTTCCAGAATATTATGCAACAGTTGCTTTGAATTTCAAGGATCAGGCAACTCAAACTGAATTACAGTTAGAGTGCAAAGGTGTCCCTGTCTGTAATGAAGACAGTACAAGACAGTGTTGGCAGAAGCAGCATTTTGAAGAAATACGTGTTTTACTGCAGCAGACCAAAGTAAATGCTGAATGATGATAGCACTGTAGTTAGTTTTATTAGCGCATTACTTTTATATATAAATAAGTTTGTCTCCCTTTTTTGTCCCCCTACCCCCTCTTTTTTTAAGAAAATTAATTTATTTATGGGGGATGAATAAACATCCACTTCTGTGATACTGTATATAATTTAAGTGCTATTTATGTATCTTCAGTGAATGAAATGGCCTCTTCCGTAAGTGAGATTATGTATTTAGACACCCTCAGTTTGAGAACTGATCACTGTTTTATTATGTATAACTTAAATTTGGAAACTGTTAGCGTGACTCAGCTGCTATAGACTTCATGGTATTACATCATACTGACAAGTTCATTTAGTAGAGACTAGCTACTAAGTAGGCCTAGTCCAGCTCTAAGTTAGAGCAAAGAAGTGACATAGGCATTGTTTAGTAAGAATCCATTCGTGGTGGGTAGAATGTCTGTGTTTAAATGCACTGCTGATTAAAAGGTGAATTGAAAGTCTTACAGAATCAAACTATGGGGTATTTTTTTTAAGATCAAATGATGAGTGAATTATACAGCCACTTAAAGTAAAGCACTTAATCTCAAACCATAGAAAAACAAGATGCAGGCTTCTTATATTTTCAAACAGCACAGCTACACGTTTGAAAGACTCAGTCACCTAAGGCAAAGATTTAGGTCCGGAGGATTAACAAAAGTAGAACAACCCTTGTTGACTGGGAGATGCCATTATTTTGGTCTGTTTTTCTAAACTCCTCTCTTCATCTTCTCTCTGTTAATGGTACCTGTGATGGGAGTTGCTGCTCTGGCAGAGATGCCAGGAAGGCTGTAAGAGAAGTAACTTAATTTTGTATTTCAACAATTTCCATATTTATTTAAAGAGCCATTTTCACTTGGACTGTTTTCTTCTCTTGGAATTCTGAAAATACGTTTTTAACTTAGACCCTTTCAGTTCACCTTAATGAACGATTCCACCCATGGGAATGTAATGAAAGCAAAGCAAATAAAACCCCAACTATTTGACACAAATGCACCGTAAGGGTTAACCATGATGGGTTAATATTGACGATATAACAATTTAGCAAGAATGGGGCAGAATTCTTAAACGCATTGAGTAATTTTGTAAACAATTGGAATAACTTACCTGTGCAATACTGAACTTAAGGCAAAATTGACTAAGAAAAATCATGACAGAGGTGACTCAGACTGCGTTTTAATCAAATGCACAGAATAGCGATCAGTCATGTTAATAAAGAAAATTTTACAGTGAGCGAGATTTGTTTCCTCTAACATATGCTCTTCAATAAACCACCACATGCATATGACCCCCACCCCCCCGCTTAAAAGATTCTTTAGAGAATCAAGTTTCCTAGCATATAGTTTTATTGTGATAAGACTAAGACCACACAAACTACAAACTTGCACAGGACACCATATCACATTTTCATTGTGTGTAAGTTTAAATGACATACAGGACAAAATGACATACTTTTCTCTGCTCTCCCCCCCTCCCCCCCACACACACACACTAGAGTTCTGCCTGTCTAATAAGTAAGAGTGTGACTCTTCTCTAGCCAAAATAACAGTTGCTGGGTGATTTATGTAGAAAATCTGCTCAGTTTACAACTAAAGTGATAGTTTCACTGATTTCCAGCTCTGCCACCTGAAGCTGGAATCTGAAAGGCAAACTGTGGTCCTCCTCATTCATACACATAGGTGCGGGAACTAGGGGTACAGCCACACCCCCTGACTTGAAGTGGTTTCCATTATATATGGGGTTTACAGTTTAGTGGGGATGCTGAGAGCCATTGAACCACACAAATTGTTCCAGCAGCACCAACAATAAAGATCTGCCATTAGAATTTAGGCTTCAATCCTGTTAGCTGATTGAGGGTTGTAGGTGGACCCCCTCCCATCTACACAGAGTGCCACTGAAGGAAATAAGGGAGTCACTGTAGGCACAGGGGTCTTTTCTGTAGAGTCATGTTCGATTTGGGCCTTAGTTAATACTGGATACATGAACCAAAAAATAATTCAGCTCATCCCTATAGTTGTGTTGGTTCTGCAGTGCTGAGAAGAGTTCAGATAAGTTTTTATTTAATAAAGGCAACTGATGAGAGTCCAGAGATACAAAGGGAGAAGCTTGTTGGCATAAGCAGGTGCACAAGTAGAGCAGGGGAGAAGGACAGCAGTGTTGTGATGAGAGGGGAAAGTAGAGAACTCCACTTTTATTCAGAGTGGTAGCCATGTTAGTCTGTATCCGCAAAAAGAACAAGGAGTACGTGTGGCACCTTAGAAACTAACAAATTTATTTGGGCATAAGCTTTCGTGGGCTAAAACCCACTTCATCAGATGCATGCAGTGGAAAATACAGTAGGAAGATATATATACACAGCAAACATGAAAAAATGGGTGTTGCCTTACCAACTCTAACGAGACTCATCAATTAAGGTGGGCTATTATCAGCAGGAGAAAAAAAACTTTTGTAGTGATAATCAGGATGGCCCATTTCAAACAGTTGACAAGAAGGTGAGAGTAACGGGGAAAATTAGCATGGGGAAATAGTTTTTACTTTGTGTAATGACCCATCCACTCCCAGTCTTTATTCAAGCCTAATTTAATGGTGGCCAGTTTGCAAATTAATTCCAGTTCTGCAGTTTCTCGTTGGAGTCTGTTTTTGAAGTTTTTTTGTTGAAGAATTGCAACTTTTAGGTCTGTAATTGAGTGACTAAGGAGGCTGAAGTGTTCTCTGACTGGTTTTTGAATGTTATAATTCTTGACGTCTGATTTGTGTCCATTTATTCTTTTGCGTAGAGACTGTCCGGTTTGGCCAATGTACATGGCAGAGGGGCATTGCTGGCACATGATGGCATATATACAGGTGAACGAGCCTCTGATGGTGTGGCTGATGTGATTAGGTCCTATGATGGTGTCCCTTGAATAGATGTGTGGACAGAGTTGGCAATGGGCTTTGTTGCAAGGATAGGTTCCTGGGTTAGTGTTTTTGTTGTGTGGTGTGTGGTTGCTGGTGAGTATTTGCTTCAGGTTGGGGGGCTGTCTGTAAGTGAGGACTACCAAGATCTCTGAGCATGAGGGATCATCCTTCAGGATAGGTTGTAGATCCTTGATGATGCGCTGGAGAGGTTTCAGTTGGGGGCTGAATGTGACGGCTAGTGGCGTTCTGTTACTTTCTTTGTTGGGCCTGTCCTGGAGTAGGTGACTTCTGGGTACCCTTCTGGCTCTGTCAATCTGTTTCTTCACATCAGTAGGTGGGTATTGTAGTTTTAAGAATGCTTGATAGAGATCGTGTAGGTGTTTGTCTCTGTCTGCGGTTGTATCTTAGAGCTTGGCTGTAGACAATGGATTGTGTGATGTGATCTGGATGAAAGCTGGAGACTGTACATTTGTTTAGCAGTTTTATAAAATAGAATCAAGGCTGAATTTAGTTGTTTGGATTGTCCATTAAGAGCAACAAAGCAAGCACTGAAAGAGCTTGGGCAATGAAAACCAGAAACTTTTACAAAGACACTGCAAACTAAGTTTAAATTAAACCCTTCTATTTGTGTATTAAGTGAAGACATTGCCTAGTGATCTGAACCTTTTTCACATTGCCACAAGATCAGACTCCTGCTGCCAAGAAGTTGGCAAATGGTGTCCCCCCTGTGATTAGGATTTTTTTAAAGCTTAATTCTAATGCATTTTGAATTAGTACTTAGCAGCAAGCAAGATGTGTCCATGGTTGCCAAAATGACCTTGGAAAGCACCATAATAGGGCTTTTAGAGCTACTCAATATGGAAAGACAAGTACAGTAACTCCTCGCTTAATGTAGTTATGTTCTTGAAAAATGCTTCTTTAAGCAAAACGATGTTAAGCGAATCCAATTTCCCCACAAGAATTAATGTAAATAGGGGGGTTAGGTTCCAGGGAATTTTTTTTCGCCAGACAAAAAAGATTATATACATATACAGTATAAGTTTTAAACAATTGAATACTGTACTCACCAATGATGATTGTGAAGCTTGGTTGAGGCAGAGTCAGGGTGTAGGGGCTTGTGCTGTTCCGTCCACCCGGCGCTCCTGCTGGGGAGTGGGGTCGGGGGCTTCCCTGCTCTCTGGGTGGAATGCCAAGTGGGCGGGGTAAGCCCCCACGCCCTGACCCCGCTCCCCGGCAGGAACACTGGGCAGGCAGAATGGGGCAAGTCCCTGCTCCCCGGCAGGAGCGCCGAGCAGGCGGAGCGGGGCGAACCAAACAACCTTATAACGGAACATTGTGTGACTTTAAACGAGTATGTTCTCTAATAAATCAGCAATCTAATAATGAAATAATGTTAACTGGGATGACTTTAAGTGAGGAGTTATTGTAGCAGAATACCTGCTTGCACCACTTTTGTGGTGCATTTCCATCCTTTTCTTTACTAAGCCACTCTACTTTCTGCTGGTTAAACTCTGGTGGCGAATGGAAATTTCTGTTTTGAATCAGAATGAAGTGTGGAATTTCAAAATTTCTCTTGAAACAAAATTTGAAAAAAAAAAAAAATATTTTGAGACAACCAAAATCATTGTGTTTGAGTTTTGATTTTTAGTTTATTTTCTTTTTAAAAATTATTCCTTTTTAAAATTTTAACAAATATATTCCAAAACAAAAAGTTGTTTTGAAACAAAATCTAAACATTCTATTTCCATAAGGTAAAAGGTAATTTAAAAAAAAAATATTGACACATTCCCAATGGAACATTACGAATTTGCTTTTTCTGGAGAAAAATTTCCCATCAGCTCTTTTTGACCAGCTCTGTCTACAGTGCTTGATGATTCTCTTGGATGAAATCCTGGTTCAAGTGCAAAGAGAGAAGAACTGGGAGCAGTTATTTTTAGGAACAAATGAATACCAGCAGGCGGGAGCTCTGTTCCCCTTTGTCGGACGTGAAGTTGTTCTCTAAGAGGTTGAGATGTCCCTTTGACATTACCCCCTCCAATCTTCTGGCTTCTTTTGCTCCCTCCGTAGTCCTCACTCTCTTGTTTGGATTTTTTCCCTATCATCATCCTGGTTTAACCCCCTTCCTTCCTTTGCAACCACTAACAGTCTCCCATTCCCAAGCTCTTCCTGTGCCTCTTGTCTCTCTCCTGGATCCCCTGTGCTTCACTCTTAACAGAAGTCCTCTAAGGTCATTAATGTTCTGCTTCTGACTGGGTCCATGGGCTTTCCTCAGTGTGTTACGGCCTCTGGCTCCATGGATTACTTCACTCCTCCTTGATTCTGTCTTCTCTTTGGATTTTTATGGTTCTCTGGTCAATTAGTTCTCTCCTTCCCTCTCTGATCACTCCTTCAAATGGCTCCCCCCTTACCTCTGTCACTCTCAATGTCCCTCATGGTTCCTTTGTTGGGCTCACCCTCTAGAACTGATCCCTGGATATCTTCATCGGCTCTTTCAACTGCCATCAGTATGCTGTGATTATTTTTTGTCAAGGTCCAAATTTCTTGGTCAAGGTATAGTGAAGGTCCAGAC